AGAATGTTTAAAAATTAATAAACTCAAGTAAATATGACATATCATTGTTAGCAATATAATGGTTCAAGGCAAACACATTTATATATAAGGTGTGCCTACCTGGGGAGGAGGGGAGGGGGGGGTGCTTGTGGTTAAAGCGTTCGCTCATCACGCCGGGTTCGATTCCCTAAACGGGTACAATGTGTGAAGCCCTTTTCTGGTGTCCTCCGGGTTTATATTGCTGGAATATTGCTAAAAGCGGCGTAAAACTATACTCACTCTCTTAGTCGGGATAATAGTGTTCGATAGTTACACAAATGGAACTACATACACACGGGGGGGACGGGTGGGGGGGTGGGGGGGGGGGGTGTCCATGAATTACCCTTGAGCAGGTGAGCTACGGTTGAGCCCTACACGGGTGGACAGCGGGTGTGTGGTGTGCATGCGGCAGCAGGGAAGACCACAAGCGGGTTGTATCGTTCCACATGTCAACCCCTCGACCATTACCCATTGAACTACCCAGTAAACAGGTTCAAATAATGCTATTTGGACAGAGACGGTCTTGCACATATATTTATGTTTCAATTAGGTCAGGAATTTGGGGAATATACCCAGCACAACACTCCATGCCTTTTGGTGCATATACATGTACAATTAGAAAATGAAATGCTTTACTTCTAAAGAATATACCCATGTTTTCTTTACAATACACTGTATTTTTTGTATGTTATAGTTCTGAACGAGAACGAATCAAATTATTTCTTTGTACTCAAGGAAAGTTTAGTATTTGATTTGACATATTACTTGACCTTAATATCCATGTCAATATGACCTGTGATACAGTGATAAAAAACCTGGTTTATTTCATTCACCGTGTTCAAGTTTGATATTCAAATCCACATCAATCATTGATGAACATGTCATTATGACCGGGCATCGTTATTTGAGAGTTTTCATACTTTCCCCGCACAAGCCTTCTTACTATTATGAAAACACTTATGGACATAAATTCGTGGTCCCTGAACTCAAGTATCCACTCCTTGTGTTTGTGGAGAAACCCTATGCTGCTATTCTCTATTTATGATTTTAATGATAGCACAACACGAGTAATTTGTGTTTTCATATTTCTGTTTCTGTCAAAAGTTAATGTTAGGAAAAAAACATATACTCAATTATTTCAAATGAATGTCAATTGATGCACGTTCACCTGCTTCCTTCATCCCAATGATGATGTTTGTATTGTTACAATAAACAGGCATATGTTTGCAGTGTCAACGATAACCAGAGAAAACTAAGGTTACTATGAAAATAAAAATATATTTTGAAAATGTTAATCAATGTACAATATTTTTCTTTCATTAGCGAGATCTGTGTTACGATAGAACCTGTTTATTTGAGAGCACTGCTCCAACCATTTCATCAGAATTGCTATTTAGATAATAGTAAACAAGCGGAATTTGATTTATTCATATTCCGGTAAAGGTTTTCTTGGTACATTGTCGTTCAACATTTATTTACATTAACCGGGCGGTTTCATGTACAACCCGCTTAATATTTTAACCGTCTACCCTCTTATATATGTGACAATACATTTAATTTCATATCATTGCATTAGGACCAAACTAGTACATACGGTGAAAGGTAGAGGATAAAAGTAGATCTTAATCCTTTCCTACAAAAAAAAACACACCTCTTGCAATGAAAAAGAAAGAAAGCATGCAATAAATTAACTACCTTTGATATTCTTAGAATATGACTAATTCTAGCGCAAAACATTTTTTTTATATTTTGACGTTTCCAGCCCTAATTTTCCTTGATGCCGAACTGCTATTAATCTGCGTCCATGGCTGTCCCTGGTCACCAGGGTTATAAGACTCGGGACTTAACCTCAGTGGGGGCTCAAAAACGAACAAAATAAAGTGGGTGTCACTGTTTGAAACTCGAGCCTCGAGGGGGATTTCAACCTCTATCTGTCTCCGTCCCAAACTTTGTCCACCACCCTCCCTTTCTCTCCGCATCCCTGGGGCAGGTTTGCTCATTTGTCAAACTGTAATCACACAATGATAATGCTCTCTGTCCACGCTGCTATTACGCAAACATACGACAAAGCTCATTAAACTATTGGCGCAAAGCGTCATTCAAATCTTAAGTTATTTGCTTTCAAGTTGGCCAAAAGCTCACCTGAACCGTGTATGACTTTATCTCGCGGTGTTCCGCTCCTTCTCCCATATTTCACTACACACGCACATAAAGATTCTTATAAACGGCGAATTTATTATATAATATCTGTGTTTGACTGATTATAAAGGAGAGTTAGTGTAGCAATTTCTTTTGACGAGTGATCATGTATTTGACATTGTTCTTTAAAACTACATGATGACTATATCCCATGTGGTAATTCAGGGATGTGACTTTTTCAGGATGCGGAATACAGATTACTCAGTTTCAGCTGCAACATTTGATGCTGTGCGTATTTTATACTTAAACCTTTCTTCTATCACACTTTCAAAATGTTCTTTGAATATATCACAGACAGGATGCGCGCATGGATTACATATGCCCAAAATATGGTAACTTAGACGCTTTTGTTTTTAATAAAACCTACACTGAAAACAAGTATATAACATGACATGTTATATCTCCAAATTCAAACACCCTATACTGGTAAAATCTTTATTTTCTGGCGTGAAGAAATATATACATTTGTTTTGTTTCCGAGCACGTTGTTAATAAACTGACATCTGCTGTTTAAAACCAATATTATATTTATAATATAACGGACCGCCAAATAAAATAAAATTACTGCGTGATTTAATAATTCCTTGAACAAAACAAGATTTTCCAAACATAACTTGCACGGTATATTCAGTAACGATATTGTCCACATGTCCTTTTTGTATGTATTTCTGTCTTAGCAGATAGTACTAAGTGATTGCTACACTATACACGAGAATAACATTCTCCGTTGCCGGTGTGCCATTACCTAGCCACGTTATACGGGTGTATTCACCGAGTGGACACCATTCTACAGGAAGGAAACATCCTTAAACTGTGGCTCTATCAAAAAGCTGACATGTTTGTGCAAAAACGGAAACCATTACATTTTGTGGTTACTATGATTTTGCATATTAATACTTCCATTTTTTCTTCTAAACAATAAAACTGATTCTTCTGTGTATTAAGAGACTGGGAAAGTAGACTTCTTTAGTCTACGGCATTTCAAACTAATTATTTCGCAATTTCTCATATTTAACACAATGCAATAAAACTCTAGTGTTGGAATTTAACCTATTCTTTTGCAACAAATACAATCCAAGAGATATATTCAGTAAAGCAACTCGATACCCACATGGTTAAACCGCCTATTCATAAACCTCGGGGCCAGTGGTTCCTGAAGGTAGGGCTAGTTCACACTCCCCACAGAACAAAGACCAGGTATGTGCCATTCGTATATTTCACTACATCACACTGTATCGGGACCAGCCATGTAATTTGCTCAAGAAGATTTATTTGTACATAAATATCTCCACTGTGGCTGATAATACACAGTGGGTATGCTAAACAGAAGTTAGCGTCGAGATTAAAGGATGATACAAGCTCATCTCCCTTAAATTCAGTTTTTTGTCACATTTCCGTAAATATTATTTCACAGTGATGTGGCTTTAACATCTGATTTTGAATAATATGTTTAAACGTATTAATATAATGGGGTTAATTGCTTTCAAGGGAACGTATACGTTATGCTTCTTCTCATAAGGCTATGTTGAGGAAAACGTTTTTATCTTAAACTGTGGTGAAATTTAACATGGACGTTTTAACAAAATACCTATTGTTAGGGTCATGTTATCATTATTATTATTACATATGTTATTATTTCGTATATTTAGTATATATGAAACTGGTGATGGGAATTGTCTTGACAATTCCATTGGCTTTTATTCTTCACCGTTCCGAAGATACATTTATTCCTTTCGATCTCTTTCAACAGAGCGCTGTTGGCGGACACATTTTCTAAAAAGTACGCATCAAAGGGCTAATTTTAAATTCATATTACTTTGTTGATATCAAATTAAAATGATATAAATTTTGATATAACTCAAAATTAAGTTTTTCACAAAGATCCATGATAATTGCTTTATGTAAACAAACAAAAGAAGTGCGTTCAGTTTTCATTATGTTTCAATACAGTCCAGTCACAGTCTGCTGCAAGGAGTGACTCGCAATATTCGGTCTACTGCCTCTGTTGTGGTAAGAACATTAAACTGTCTATAGACCATACACTACCATAGCGAAACGTCTATCTTCCATAGAAAATCACTAAAACATGCCTTAAAATCTATAAAACTGGCGTCGTTCTTCTATTTCCTTTTTGTAGACTGACTTAATCGGAATGTCTCTTGCAATTGACGTTAAATATTAGCCCTAGCCTGTAATGAACTTTGTCCTTTTTAATGCTTTTCTCAAATTTGTACTGGAATATTTTGAAAGAAGAAGCCATATCGGAAATGCTACTCGAGTTTAATGGATTCTGCTTCCTTTTCTGAAATATGATTGACAATATTGTAATGATAAATTTAGCATAATTGAACAGACTCAGTAACCATGACGTTGCCACAGTTGTAACTGTCAAGTCGGGATTATATTATGCTGTCAATGTATCTGGTAGCTACTATACTCATAACCTGGTATACAGTGCGTGTTATACAGGTATACGACTCGCTGTCATCAGTAATACAAACCGATATCAAAAGTAACTTAAAACGTAAATTCCCATCTATTAATTATTATAAAATGTCAAATTTAGTCGTTTTTTAAATATTTATTATAGTATTCAATGATGAACCAATGCAACTAATAATGTGTTCTTATAAATACCTATCATGTTTAGTTTGTTAAACAACTCGAGCAACACTCAATATACCAATATTATATCATATCAGGAACAAGTATGGGAACAGATCGCTTCATCTGATCAAATCTGAACAGATAGAATATAAGGAATTCCTTGTTACGATTCTTACCTGCAGGGTACGTGCATAAACAACGGTCCGTCCATCGATGCGTGTGTTATTATGACCAGTGGGAGCCGTACAGTCAGTCTGACAACATCACAGGGCTTCAAGCAGGGGTTATCTATACGCGGGTAGAGAATAGCTATGTGTTTGCTTCTCTGTCAACACCGTGACTTATCCACAAACTAACACAATGTTAAAACACATTCTGGCCAATAGCAGGCCAGATTGAAATCACGTGACTCGAAACAGAGGCTGCACGCGCTACTGACCCCGGAATGGGCGGGACGATAGCGTGAATACGTCAATCAATGTAACTGAGTTCCTAATGACAACATTTGGTCATGCTTGGGCAGACAGTAAATATTTGTGTGCCGGACTATGAGTTTTGGTATGGAAATCAACTCATAATATACATATATGATTGTGCTCACGACAAGACGGTGAGATGAATATCAGTGTGAAGACGATTGTTAATTTCAGTCAGAGATTAGGAAGTATTCATTTCGACGACTGTTGTTGTTCTTCGCTCCCTAGAAATCGAAGATTGCACGTGTTGAGATCAGGGCTTTGAACAACTGCAACATTTTGTAAGACGTCGATTGAATTGGGATTTATTCGAGATAATAAAATCACGGTGTGTTTTTTTCCAAACTGTTAAAGTAGTTATAGAATGGGTATGTTTACTCTTTAATATAGCCCGTGTTGCCTTGCCATAGGGCTTGTAAATGTGTCACGTCGAAACCTTTTTTCAAAATGTGTCCTGTGTCGTTTCGTTGTATTTTTTATTTGTGCCACATAAGTAAATTGCAAAGCTTACCTACAAACATCAAATCTGCTACAACGACTCATATTTTAACAAAATAATACTCTTATCAACGACATAGTGAATATACAGTTGCAAGGAACGTTTCTTTAAAAATACAAAAATTGGTATTATGATAAATATAGATGTAAATTTTAAAATAGTTTGAAAAATTAGTACCATGGAAATTAGCAATACTTTAATGTGGGTATCGCCCACGGGGCCTAGATACCGGTCAGTGGTGTTATATCTGACATACAGACGGAATTAAGTCATATCTATGTACCGCTTGTTGTGGCTTTGCAAAACACATCATGTACATGTTCGTCGTCATGAAAACGTGGTAGATGTGGTTGACTGTGATACACAACAACGTCCACTCCACCAGACATCGTCCACCAGTTGAATACATATATCCGTCTCTCCCCGCCTCTCTTCGATTTAAGTTATTATTGATAATGGTTAAAAACTGACCTTAATGTTCACACACCTTGCTCAATAAGACTGAGAACATCTTTGAATAATTTTGCATAATTAAATTATTTTTAAAACATTATTTTCTTCTTAAATCAAATTATACCTTATTCGCAAAAAAATTGGAGGGGTACGCTATTTTGATATTTTGAAGTTGAAAGAAAATTATATATACTCTGGTAGACGTGTATTGTGTTAATACAATACAAACACAACATTTTGATTTTATTTCTGACAGAGAGATAACTTCGAAGACACAATGCCATTTAGAATGTAATCAAATGTAACAAATGTTGTATTGGGATAACACTTTCTTAAAAAAGTACAAATTCTCGTTCTGTTTTGGGTTGAGTCCCATCCGGGACTAGATATAAGTAGACAAACACAACGCTCAATATATCGCTACTAACGTGGAGGTCGTACGCTAACGGATACCCGAGGGATCCGAATCACGTTGGTCTATAACAGTACTACTAATATTGGTATTTGGATGAGGGGATGCAGTCATACGTGAACACAAGCTTTCCTTGGGAATCACACGTTAGTTTCAATATTGATTCGAAGTTGCCCACCTTTCAACAAGTCATTTAGATTTCCCCACTTCATGATGGCTTGTTAATTCAGATGCCTGTGAACAGTGTAGAAGCCTATATTGAGTGGATGTGGTGAACTTCCATGTGTGATTGAAAATGAAATGTGTGTAATATTTGTGTGTGTGTGTGTGTGTGTGTGTGTGTGTGTGTGTGTGTGTGTGTGTGTGTGTGTGTGTGTGCTTTCGATTATGTTCGTGTATTATTCTTGCCAATTTATATAATGGATAATTTAATGATTTTAAGTGCCTCATAGATCCTTCATGGGTCGGCTGATGTTTTTATATATCATACGTATGTATACGTGTAATGTTTTTTATTGTCTTTAAACACCAGGTGGCACTGTAATAAAATAATCTTCTTCTTCTTCTCTTCCTATAGAGGACGGCGTGCGGTGCAGTTTACAACATTAAACCTACCTGGCCTACTTTCCTTAAATAGGCATACAGAAGAATTATAAAAATACATTTCATATTTATATGCTGCATAAAGAATAGAAATTCTCGCAGAATTTCTGCAATATATTAAAACACATCAAATGCACCGCAATCAATTAAACATAGACGTTACCATATTATAAGTTTTCGCGAAATAATTTCCATATGCACGAACCTTAACCATTATTAGTTGATTAGAATATCTTGGCAATGAAATACATTCATCAAGAATGGATTGAATACAAGTAGAATGGTACTCCTGCACGAATGTTAAAGATTTGTGTAGATTTGATAGCGCTGTTCCCGACCCACCTCGTCGTATATCTGCGTCCGCTGATGGGCTAAACACAGCATACATTTCACCGTGTGTGCGGCCAAAACACACTCAGGCGTTGAGTCGAACTTTACTACTGAAAACATTCGGTACAAAACGATTACAGCTGCATTAGTGAAGATGTTAATTATCTCTGGTAGGTTTTAAACAAATTGTTTAATTTAAACCATGGATGTACTCGGTGCTAGTTAAGATAACCATCTCCTCATGGCATCAAATAATATAATTTACATATTTGTTTGCATAATATTATTATATAAATACCTAAATATAGTTTTCAAGTTTATGTAGCATTGGGAAATATATTAAAGAAATAAAATAAAAAAGATATCAAGGTGTTTTATTTCAAAACATGCTCATTCAAAATATACAGACGTATGTTCAGTTCAAAAACAATATGTTATTCAAAGCTATAACAATGGTCCCTTGTCATACTAGCTAAGGATAAAAATTGCTTGGCATACAACAATCTGTCAAAGGAAAAGGCGGTATTGGGGGTTATTTTCAGTAAAACAGTCATTCCGATTAACTCATGATTCCCAGCAGTTTTGGTCACGCCTTGTGAAAAGAACAAGCGGGGGTCCATCAATTGCTATGCTTGACTGACCATAGATAAAGCCTTGCAAACATTTTAGTGTCGGACAAAGCATTAACCTCCAACTCCTCCCAGAACCGCTGATGCCTATCCTGTAATATACACACCGCTCATTGTCCATCCCAATTGCTTTTTTCACCTAAGTTGCAAACAAACTGATTAACTAGGGGGTACAAGTGATAGGGGTATTTAATCGAGAGTGACCAACGAGTGACCAACAAGTAGTACATGATAAGTACCCCCTCTAGCGGTCTAGCGTTAGGTCCCTCCTCTCGCTCAAAAAAACGATTGAAGTTGCTGTGGTGTATTTGCTTAAACACTGTAGGCTATATAGGCTAAACGGATCAAATCTGGTTACGGTAATTAATAGGTGCAAGATCACCGCTCCATCAGTTGGGGAAATCCTGTGAAGATTGTAAACTGTTTTTCCACTAGCTATACATAGCCGTGTGTAATCACACAGATTAGGGTCAATGTTAATCCAGCGTTCAATAACTAGTTGACAATAGACATGTTGATATATTCAATCAGCCGTCAACACGTTATCTAGATCGGTCTGATTTCGTCACCGTGGGAGCGAATTGCTCACCCCGTGTTGTGCTAAAACACTTAAACTTGTAAGCGAAGTAGCGCCCTTCAATTTAGGATTAATTATTATTATTATTATTAATTCTTAGTGATCGATGACGTAACAAAGATAAACACTTAATAGATATAACACTGAAACGGAATAAAATCATTTTTTCAAACTGTTATATTTGTCAAAAACGAAGTTTGAAAATCTATTAGTGATATAAATATTAATTTAGTGAAATAGTTATTGCAGCTTATTTCTATGTTTATTGTGAACGTACGGTATTTAAGAATTGATTTTAACTAAATTACCAGGCCGAAGACAGTATACACTGGAAAATTGGATTTGGTAAATATATTGCACACGTATCCTAATGTTACAAGGCTAAAAAACATGTCGCCGAAAACCGCAAACGTACGGCCCAAAACACAAGGACGAGACCCGCATCATCGCCATCGAATAAGCAATTCTTTTTTGTTTCAGTTTTATCCACCATCACACACTAGTGTATACTTTATGTTGCCCGACAGATTCCGTACACATCCATTGCAGAATGAATCTTCATTGAGTGACGGACAAAAATTACGCAAATCGTCAAATCCTATAACGTGTGTATGTCACATTAAAATAATATTTAAGCTTATATTTCAGGTGAGATTATTCAAGAGTGTGCGAATGTATATTTGGCAACATTCCATTTTCGTTTTAGCCTCTTGGAGAATTCTGGGATAAATAATAGAACTACTCTTGTAAAACTTCTCCTGTATACAAGGAAGAGGAGCCCCTATAATAATTTTCGGGGATGGGGTTAGTGGGGGGTACACGAGCTTCAGTACACGAGCAGTACAAAAATATTACAAAATGTTTGCTTTCATTTTGTTTTTTCTTTTATAGTTTTAGGCCTCCACCATTCTAAATACCCCTTGCGGTTATTGGGACCAGAACCAACAGCGACGGTAACAGCAGCAGAAATTACAACAGCGACAACAACAATGACAGCAGCAACGACTGCAACTGTTACGTCCTTGTTATTCGGCAGTGTATACAATGTGTTTTAGGATCAAATCCATTATTGCATTACCTTATATTGACGCGGTGAAATCATCAGAGTGTACCATCTTCATCACGGCATTTCAAGTTATGTCCCATTATACAAGAGCGTTTTTTATTACTTGAATTTTTAATTACTGTTTTGCAAATTGGTTTAAATGAAGTGAGAAGTCATAAACCTCACGTAATTAAACTAATGAAACACATATTTAACAGCTACGTTTCAGTTTATTTATTTTTTTGAAAATTAAAAAAATCATATACACTGCCGCTCAAAAGAAAATATACTCAATATTTAATGGTGGTTAAAAATGAAA